AACACCTGACAACGTATCTAACTCATTTTCTTTAGGTTTTTGAGTTGTCTGACAAACGTTTTGTGGCAGCATTGTCATTTATATGTAAACAGATGCTATCAGACGCCGATTGTCTTACCCAAAAAATAATAACCAAACAAAATTATTGACATCGTTTCATTTTTTTAACAAACTCTCTTTCGATCACCTTCTTTCTTTGTCGTCGGTTAATTTTTAGAGCTAACTGAATTTCCGTATGTTGATGGCCATTTGTTATATGTCGACAGGTCGCGCTTACACACACGACAAATGGTGCCCACATTGCATATTGCAGTCGCACCCGACACACGATACATATCAACGATTTCCTAATCTTAATGGTAAATCGTCAAAAAAAAAGAAGAAGCGAACGAAAATCGTTTTAATTATTAAATCAATTTATTAATTTGTTTCCTTGAAATGCAAAACAGGTGTCAAAATGTGTTTTTCTTTTTATTTTCAATGCATTTGTTTCCTCATTTCCAATTTAATTGATGAGATGGAATATGAAAAAAACTTTGCACACTTAATAAAAGTGCCAGCAGCATGTTCATATTTTTTCAACGACTTTATCAACAAATTGTATTCGCGTGCCTTGCGAGCGCGCACACAAACACATACTCAATTTTCTACATTAATTTACCAAGCTACTGAACATATGTTTTCATCAGGTTGTGCATTGAACGGCGAAAAACGGCGCTTCACATTTTTATTCAATGAATTATTCATATGTTTTCGATCAATCTATTTTTGCTGAACAAAGCTGAACACGTGCTATTAGAAAATGAATGCATTGCACCTGAGTGTGAATCGATCGTATGCAATAATCGTAGCTGAACATTTAGCTAGGAATGTCTCACAATGTATTATTTTTCTAAAGAATCTAGAATGCGCATTTTAATTGCGAATTTTAATGTGATAATTACAATGATTAATATATTTTTTTTTTAAGTCATACAGCGCAAAGCAATTTTTGTTTTGTTTCATTGGCCAAAAGGAAGATCGGTACGCGATTGTGTGACAAATATTAATATTCTATCAACATTGAGTTATCCTTGTTTTGCGTTAATCATAAATATGAAGTTTGCATTTTACTTTTCCGCACACACCTAGTGTGTAAGGTAAAGTATTGGAATCGGTCGAAAAATTAACACCCATAAAAAATGTGTTTTCTGGGTGTTTTTGGGGCCAGGGAACACGAATCCAGCGTTTTTACGATGTCCGAATGTATGTGCGTACCCTGTACCCTGTACCCTGTACCCTGTACGCCCTGTAAAAATTTGTTAACACGATAACTTTCAAACAAGAAAAGTAATTCAAAATCTGACTTCACAGGATGATTGGGGGTGCCGAGGAATAGAAACCATTAGATTTCGAGCGAATTTGGTTGACAGGGTAAAGTGTCATGTCTGGTGTGATGCCCATGTCCATCCATGGGAAAAATTCAATTTTTCTTCCAAAAGTGATATTTAATGTATTCTTAAACACTCAAAAATGTGTATTGGGGGGTTTTTGGGTACGAGAAAACCGAATATGACGTTAGTTTTGCGATACAATCAACTTTCGAAACACTTTTCATACAAAAAATTCAAAAAATTTGGATTTTTGTATGGAAGCCATGCCTGTATGATATCGTAATGAGCTGAAACTTTGCACAGGTTATTTTTATCACACATAAATACTATTCCGAGAATTTGAAGACATTTCAACGAATATTAGGGGCACCTCCCGAACAATATTTTGGATTTTTCGCTCTGAAACGAAATTTTGTATGGGAAGTACCCTTAATATGCATTGAAATGTCTTCAAACTTTCAGAATGTTAAGTTTTTGTGAAAAAAATAACCTCTGCAAATTTTCACATGATTACGATAACATGTTATCATATAGGCATGGCTCCGAAACAAAAATTCCCATCTTTAGTAGTTTTTGTAATAAAATTGCTTCGAAAATTATTTTTATCTAAAACTAATGTCAGATTTAGTTTTCTTTCATGTCGTGGATCACAGTGCGGAAAAGTTCATCTTACGGATGTAAGACATTTTATTATTTGTTTGCGTTTCGTTGTGTCTCAATTCGAATGTCGACATGGAGTCAGAATCTAATGCAAATAAAAATGATGTAACCACACTCGAGTATTGCACTTGGAAATACTATCTCGAGATTATTATTATTATTATTTTCATCTCTCATTCTCTTGCGCTCTCAATCGATCATATTTGCAATATTTTTCATCGCGCGCGCACTCCTATCTATGAATTATTCAACAAACAGAATATATAAATAGCTCGCGATGCCGGCTTTTGTAACGTTTAGCTTGATGAGCGCGAGCGTGTGCTCGCTATTTTCCACCTATTTTTTTCCTCGTGTTATTATTAATTCGTTGGCTGTTGTTTTTCTGTCGGCTAAATGACAATTGTATTAGATGTGAATATATTGACTGTGTGTTTCATATGCATGATTAATAATTAAGTTGCAATGCCTTTTAAAATAGGAAACCGAATATGTATTCTACATTGATTACGCACATCTGTGTATATTACAACACAGAAGAAAAAAAACACTTTACACATTTGATTTACTGTGTAGACTACAGCTATATTTTAAATGAGAGTAATTGTTCGATGTGCGCCTTTTTGGATAGTGAAATCGGCGCTCAATATTGCATAAACGAATCAAATAATGTTCGGTCGTTTGCATTTTACGTTTCGAAGATTTATTGCTCCGATAAATGGCAATCAGCACGAATACGTCGAGGCACGTATCGGACACGCATAGAGAGAGAGAGAGAGAGAGAGAGATGGAGAGAGTGAGGGGGGGGGACGCACCGTCGTTCAAAGGTGGTTAGTATCTATTATCAATCAAATTTATTACATTGACATTGTGATTTCAGTGAACTTCTTGATATTCGGTTTCTTATTAGGTCTTTGTCGAATGCCGTGTGCGAGATTCCCTTTGAGCAAATAAAATGTGATTGATTTACGAAGGAATAATTGCTTTTGTGTCATAATTTATAAGGCCATTTCATGATTTTAGCTAATTAGATAAACGTGTGATTAGCTCTTAAAAGCTCGATTTTGGCTTTGAGCATTCAATCTCTCACCTACTCACTTTAAATTAACACGTTTTTTTATTGCATTGATTCACAAGAACTAGTACAAATTCATCAAAGTTTGTCATATGATACGACACGCAAAATGTTAAAAACAATTTAACCATTGTATATGACATGATATTGCTGAGTTTAGCAGAAAAAAAGAAGAATAACATAATACACATTGCAGTGAAGAACGTTTTACTTACGCATTCATATATTCACCTAACCAATGTGTCTTTTAGGCGGCTCCAAAGTTCAACAGAATGAAGTTGATTTTGAGCGTTTCTTTTTTGTTTGTTTCAATATAAAAATGCGTGCGTTCACATATGTTAAACAATTTATTGGGGTCGTGCAAATTGTGCAACGCACATCAATTTTTCAATTCATCTACAAAAATCGACTCGAACACAAAAACACAATTGAAATTTACAGACGACATTTTTTGCTCTCTTTTTTTAAATAATGAACGAAATGCAATGCATCAATGAGCTTTCGAAACTCTTTGGTTGTGTGTGATGAATATTTGTTATATATAACGTACGCATATTTATCCATGTCATAACCATGAATATGGTGTGTAAACTCTGTGTCAAAAGAAAACAACAAACAAAAATTTGCTAATATGTGAAAATGTATAATGTACTCGTGAACCTGACCTAACTTCGAGAGAGTCCACTTCAATGAAATGTTTTTCTATGGACGTAAAAACGTGAAACGCTTACGCACAACGTCTTTTTTTGCGCATGAAGAAAGAAATTATTTTAAACACCTGACCATATTACAACAATAACGCCAATGCCAAACCAACTGTCAAGTAATTGATCAATAAGCAGATGAACAAGTTTCTGACTCATAAGTCTAAACAATGCCACTGAAATCAGGTCTTTCAAAAAAAAAAACTAGAACCAAATTTCCAAAATTACGTTTAAATTTAAGTAATTTGCAAATGTCATGAATAATAATAATGGCTATTTTTGGAGTGCAAACAAATTATATGATGATTAGCATGTTCACACATGATTACTATGGACTTGGATTAATGATTTTTTTTTCTCTGTCCCCAATGTTCAAACTAAGAATAAAATTAAATCCACTAAAAGTGGAATTTCACTAGCAAATGATTGCTAATAATACACTATTTTTGTTTTGCACACTTCAATTCAATTTTTTTCTTCTTCATTTAAACAATTTAATTCTGAAGTAAATGTTCGAAAAATGAGTGTGAAATGTGTGAGTTCACCTTGATTATAAAAGGTGCTGACGTTGTTCTGCTCTTTTAACCTTGCGCTTTGTACAAATAGTTTCAATGTGTTTTTTTTATATTCGGTCTTTCTCACCTCTTGTTTTCACTTAAAGAAGATTAAACAACAGCAACTTAGCATTCGAAATCAGTCGGTCAGGTGATGATGGTAATGTTTGTATTTGTGTGACACGCATAGCATTTTTCTGATATGTTAAACTGCAAGCAAATAAATCAGTAGTTATGGACAGCACAACAGCAACGGCAGCAGCAGACGTTCGAGTGTGAATGGTTTGTTTACCTCGAAATTCCGTTTTTTTTTCTCTCAATTAAATTTATGTATATTTTCCTGCCTCCCGGATCGTAGCCATGCAGATGTATCAGCTCAATTGATTAGAAGATGAGCGATCACATTTTTTTAATTAACATCATTTAGTGTGTGTAAATATTGAAAAGACGCCAAGTATTCTGTTTTCGACTTAATGAATTTTGCAAATAAATCATGGACAGGAGAGGTAACGATATGAACCCATATAGTGTATGTGATTTTTAAATGATATTTTATATATACGCCAATTGAAGTAATCATTTCCGTTTGCATAATGGACTGAAATGTTCAGAGGGGAGTTAAAAAAAACACAACATGTTATTCTTACTAAGCACGTGTCTCGGCCATCCAGCGAGCACTTGTTCAATTTATTTTACGTATTTTGTATGTGTATGTGTTTGTTTGTTATTATTTTAAACATAGGCAAAGAATATCACAAATATATAATCAGCTAATTCAACATATTTTTTGTATGTTTTATTCTAATGCAAAGTGTTGTTTTCATTATAAAGGTTCAAAGTCTTGTCTCAGGTGTGTTGGCATCTTTCATTCAATCAAAATTGCCAATTTCCTATATTCATACAATTTGAAGCGCATTTTGTTGCAACCTTGCGTCATAGCTTGAAATCAATTCACTTGACATATTTTCATTTTTGTTTTATTTCGTTTTGTACGAGTCTACAAGACCAATTGATACTTTGTACTTTCTAAACATTACTTAACAGTTCTATAATGATTTTGACTTAAAAAAAAGACTGAGCTTATGAATTATGACAAATCAAATTCAACATCAAATAAAAAAAAATGGCCTAACTTAAATCAGCTCGTGTTGATCGATTCTAAATCAATCATTATATGTATTTTTTGCTTAAATTCCAATGACTTATAAGCTTACAATCTATCATGCCCGATAATAAGTAAACAACGATTTCAAATTCAGTCGATGTGCGGTTTTCAGTTCAACCACTCTTGTCGTTCCCTTTGTCACTCGCTTTCTATTCATCTTTTCGTTTGCGTGCTTTGCCTTCGGTTTGAATGCATTTTGTGATTTCTTCTAGGCAACTTTGTACTGAGGGTTCGCTTTGATCAGCACTATAATCCAATCCAGTCATACGACTTAGTGTTAAAATATAAGCGCATGCCACCCGCAAAATGGATAATTTTGATAGTTTTTGTGTATTTGAATAGGATGGAATAGACTGGCGAAGCGTATCAAAAGCAGCAGAAATGGTATGAACTCGTGTTCGTTCCCTGGCATTTGCTTCGATGCGCCTTTCACGTGTCATATTTTTATAATTTCGTTGCGGTGTCAGGCGTATGGCATTCGGTTTGGGTTCATCGATCACTGTTTTCGCTTTTACTGCGTCAGCTTTGATTGGCGTTTTCTTTTTGCAAATTTCAACGTTATTCGATATATTGTTGTTTTCATTGTTGGATTTTTTCGTTACTAATGCTAATGGTTGTTCATCTTGACACACTTTAGAGTTGGCGATGTCAGCGGCAACAGTGACATCGGCTGGCATACGATGTAATGTGGTTACGCCCGGATGTCGTGCCAAAACTTCAGCCTCATTTGGCAAATGTTGTTTATTCGGTTCTGGAATCCAAGGCCGAAACGATGCATCTGATTGATTCAACTTTTCCGATGAGTTCAATGATTCAATCTTATTGGCACCACCATACACTGATTCGTACTTAAAACGTTTCTTAAGCGGGATATCATTTTCACATTTAATGGCATCGAATGCTTTTCGTTTTGGTGGCAACACAATGCTACCCAATTTTATGTCAATGGAGTCATCGGATGCGTCCGCTGAACTTGGACTACTTTGGATACGATCCGATTGATAGTCGTCGCCAATTTCAGAACCGCCAGAACAAAATCCAGCATCACGTTCCAACTGTGATGGCGTTTTCGATGAATCTAAGATAAAAAAGGGCAAAAAAGAACAGCGGTCAATTGATTATTTATAAATTCCAAATACTTTCTATATAATTACTTCAACAAAAAATATATTCACGATGAACAAAAAGTGAAAAGAGGAAAATATAACGACAGCGCAGGTATTTTGTGAGCACAAAAAATGCTTGAGAATCACGCGTTTTGAGAATCAAAGAGTGAAACAGCGATAAATGTAAACGAACGACCGAAGAAGAACCATTTTTATGTTACAAAAGTTATTTATTTGGTGTGATCAACAAGTGAACAAAGAACAACGAACCAGTTTCGACGCGATGCGATTTAACGATGTGGAAACATCAAAGAGAGTCCCGAATATTTTGCTGCCAAAGCCATTTTTTAATCGATAAAAAGGAATCTTCGTTTGCACAATTTTTTGCTTAAGTATTCTTCTCCTTTTCTCTTTTCGGGCTGATTGCCGAATTTAAGAAAAAGCATCACACACGAATAAAACGATAAAAAGGGGGAATTTTCCCATTTGGAATGCAGATAAGATGAGAGAGAGAGAGAGAAGGAGTGCCTTCTTTTTATATAAACCTCAACCTTTTGTATGTCTGTGATTGGTTTTTTTTTCCTTTGCTAAACGTAAATGTCCGTGTGTGCCAAAATGTCAACTAAATTGAAATGGCATATTACAAGAGAACACATGGGCTATCATGGTTGGTTTCGGCGACACAAACACATAGTGAATGCGATACGTTGTTTTTTTTTCATCCGATGATTTATTTGGTGCGGCATCATTGAAAATACCGAAGTAAGCAACGATGTTGTGTCCGCGTGTGTAGCCAGATGGTGCACGTATATACGATTTGGCATCTATCCCGATCCGTCCATTCATCCATCATGATGGCGTGTATGTGTGTCTATAAAAACTTTGGTTCGCATATGTGAATGATTCAGTGGTTTTTAATTTAGATTGCACGAAATTCAATACGACCGAGACGAATAATTTGTGTAATAATATCTATTACCTTGTTGCATTGTTACACTCGTTGATGATCGTTTCATTTTCTTATGTCTCTTTGCTCGAGACCTTTTATCTGCTCTAAATTTTCAATTGTAGCGAAAACAAGCAAGTACATGTTGTTTTTGCTGTATTGTTGTAGATGCCAATTCGTCAACCGTTCTCAACCATTTTTTGATGCATCGTCATTGATATGCATGCATACATGTATAAATAGCATGGAATTATTTTCACTCGAAACACTTTAAACGTATACATTTTTTACGCCATTTCTCTCTCTCTCGTTAAATTTTGTAAGCAATTTTGCACATAAAATGAGTTTCATAAAAAAAATCCGAACGCATTTTGTTTGTGCGAAATCGAACAGCGTAATCGAAATAATCGAGCCACATAAAAGAGTAAAAGGTAAGGACAGAACATATTCTCATTCGCTCTCAAGTACTTTTTTCGCGTCTTCGCTTTGAGTGGCAGCATCAGCGGCGACAACGTCGTCGTTATAGTCAACGACAAGCAACATTAAAATGCGAAATGCAAAGAAAGAAAAGAATTGTGCCGCGACGAGAGAACGAGAGAAAAAAAACCCATAATGCTTTATACCTTGGACGGTTTGCATCATCATGTGAGTTTCTGTGGCGCATTTTTGTGTGTGCTGTTTGCTGTGTGCACTCTCCACACCAATAAGAGCGCATTTGTGTGCTAAATATGCGAACTAAACCAACATTGGCAGACAAGTGTTAGGTCATTGGTTATGTACATCGTTGTTTTTGTTCGTTTTTTGTTATTGTTGGCGTTCTTTCTACTCGATTTTGCATTGCCAACGTTGTTATTTGCTTGCATGCATCGATCGCACTGCATGCAACCTAACATACACACACACACATTCGCATATTGATAAAATATTTTATTCGTCGCGATATGTAGAAAATGGCATTCATATACGATTCGCATTTTTTTCCTCTCGTTGAATACTGGCACTGCTGCTTCGTGTGTTGCAGGCGCTTTTTCGATTCGCGAAATATTCTCGTTTTCATGTGGATGTGGAAAATATGTTTTTATGGCGCCAGTTTAAGCAAACGTGTCTCGACAATCGCCGTCGATGCTATCCTCTTTTCTCTCGCGCTCATTCAAACCAACTTACAACATTTGGTTGTGCTGCCTTTTTATCTCCATCAAGTAAAATTGCAATGTTCAATGAATTTGCAATGGCATCACACACACGTTATGACTTTGACCATCAACAAAAATCGGTGCCTTCGAAAAGTTCAGAACTCATATTCAAAAATACCCACACGCACACAAAAACTATTATACCAAATGAAATATGAATGAATGCTAAGGATGTGATTCATTGAGGCATTTTATTTTATTGCGATAGAAAATGTCGTTTGCCTATGAACAATTTAGAGAATCGCTTAAGACGTTCATTGTGGAATAGGAAATAGAACAGCCATGTCATAATCAGTGCTATGCATATGTTATGAAAACAATGTAAATCGCAGAGTGAGAAGTATTTAGCAAATTAGAAACGTGTCAAATGTGTATATCTTGCAAAATTTTTAAAACATATTTTCATGAATACATATCGTGAACCGTATAGCGATTATTTTTATTTTCATCGTTGTGTGTTTACTTTTGTTTCATTTAAGTCGTGTGACTGTGACGAGTCAATTGATAAACATCTGAATACTATCAGTTGAATGTGCGTAAACCCAACGACGAACACCCAACGCAAACAAAATCGCGAACTGAATTAGCACCAAACGAGAAGCATGTGATGTGCTATGACTCAATTTTTATTCAGTAAATACAACTGGTATGCACACCTGTTTCTATTATTGTCACTTTATTATATCGATATGGTAATCGTTCTTAAAAAAAAAATCTTTGTGCAAAATTGCTAATCAAGTCACATGATTTTTTAAATCATCAGATTTATTTAGCATACTCTGACACTGCTGCTAATTGATTTCGTTGGTGCAAAATACATTGTATTGAGAAAAAAAAATGCGTTTCACCAGAACAGTAAGTATAATAAATATAGAAGCTCACGTATATTAATAAAAGTTATTGTGTCATTTTGTTTTCAAACATTAACCTTCGATAAGTATTGGAGTGAATATGACGGAAACCAACCAAGTGAAAATCGTGACCCGACAATATGCTTAAATTCGTTCTAACTGTAAAATGGAGATAAAATTTATTCAAAATGAATAAATTCGCTCATTATTATTGAAAAAGGCTGTGAATTAAGATAAGAACAAGTAAAAACAAAGTGTGTGTAAAAGTGCGTCATCATTTTCGATTCAATCGTCATCCGAACTTTACAACATGGCAAACAAATACACACAGTCTGCACAAAATTTATAATCGGAAATTTTTCACATAAGCATCTGTGAAAACAGATAATCTGCGATTCTCTTAACTCTCACTCCTTCACTCTTCCTACGATACGACACACGAATTTGACCGTAACGCGTTTATCTATATCTTTTTTTCGTAAACATCTCTTCTTTTCATTTGGTCGACAACAATTCATTCCCATTGAAATGAGTTTAATTCGGTATAAAGCGAGAGAGAGAAAAAGAGAAGGGGGGCGGAAAACGATCGACGTGAAGATGTAAGATTCTTTTAGAAATAGTTGGGAGGTCTGAAAGGCGCCATCTGGTCGAATTATATCATGCACAATTCTATATTTGCACAATGCACATCGCGCAACACTCTCGCTCTCTTGTTCACTTCTCAACCAATTCGCTTTTTATGATCAATTTATATCTTTACACATTCATCTTATATTATACATCGTATATGCACTGTGTGTGTGCGCGCATCCGTTACAAATCCAAATCTGTCTGCGTCTTGCAAGTAAGTGTTGCACCACTAAATGCGGTTTTTCTTTAAATTAAAAGAAATTAAATTTATCTCTGAGAGTGATCATCATGTGTAAACATCTTTTCTATTTCAATTCAGGCGCTCTTCTTCGCGGCAATTTCGGTGTGCGTTTAGTTGTTGTTGGTTTTTTTTATTTTGATTTTTGAGGTACACAACACGATTCAATCATGTCTAATATGTTTATTTTTAGTCGGTTGGCTGAAAATGAAATTACACAGAATGAATTTGGGCGTATGTGTGGATGTGACGGGGCGAAAAAAATATCGTCTGTGCAACGTCATCGGAAAAAATTTCAAAACCATATCATTATTTAAATACCGACGAAATGATTTGATTTGTGTGTTTTTACTTTCATTAATTTCTTTTGATTTAGTTTCTTTTTTTAATTCATTTGTTTGTTTCATTTCTGTTTCGTATGCCGTTCTAATTTTAATTCCCGATGTAATCTAATGGTCACGATGTACATGGCCATTTTGCGATTATAATAATTTTCAATTCAAAATATAATTTGCAGCTGTTTGAACAGCTACGCGACTTAATTTTATTTTTGTTCGTTTTTGTTTTGGGTAAATAACATTTGCAAACAATGTTTCAATTGAAAACAATACGCTTTGAATCAACACGGTCGATAAATTATTGAAAAATTGATGACGGTGAGACTATTTTTGCGAAAAAAAATATATTTTGAATTGGATAAATCGAATTGATTTGCGCAATATAGTTTGAATTGTGTCATGCATATTTGCCCTTTGACTTGTTGACATCGCGAGGAAGAAATCTTTTTTGAATTGTTATTATTTCTATTTATAGTTAGTTACCTTTGAATAAAAGTGCGGATAAATCCGTTGCCCGTATTTGATTGTAGCTTTCATTCATTTCGGATGGCATTATGAGATCCGCACCACCTTTTTGCTCGTTTTTCACTTTCGTTAAAAACACCATTTATGTAACCCGAAAGCGGATAGCACACTTTAATTTTTTATATTTGTTTTTTCTTCTTCGCAACAGTTTAACTCAATATATTCTGTTTGATCCTTTTTTATCGTTTCTATAATTATGTTCTAGGATTTTGCTTCCAAAGAAATAATATGATCACGATTTTTTTTTATTCAATTGAAGGTGGAAAGCAACTATATTGTCACCTCCGGTCAGCAGAGAGAAAAAACCAGTAAAGTAAATCACTGATGAGCACTTTGAAATTTGGTTGAGATCGATAACTCAATGAATTTATATCGTTTGAGGTTTACGTAAATCGATGTGAAGCTTTTGTTTTGAGAGCGTAAACGTAACAGCAACCGTTCAATGCAAGTGTTCTGTTCAAACTGAATTTATCGGCACGGAATTTGTGTCTGTTTGGGACGCGTCTGAAGCGAAAAACAAATGGCAATACATAAAAGCAGCAGCAATAGCGATGCGACGACTGCTTGCGTTGTATACAACGGCAACGTATGCACAATAGGCCGATATGTGAATGAGTGGCAACTTACGAAAAGACAGAAGCAGAGAAAGAGAAGGAGAGAACCTGAATTCCAAATTTTCCTTAGCTTTTTTTTATCCATCGTTCGGCTTTTGGTTGTTTTTGTGATATATATTTTTTATTTTGTTCATTTTCTTGGCATGATTCATTGTGCGTGTTCGTTAAATGACATCGCCCGGTATGTACATTTGCTTTGAATAGCCTTGACCGATCGATGCGATCGTCTTTTTATTATAGCTTTTGATATCATTGTATTTTTTTTATTGAGTCGATAAGAACATGCCGATGTTTTAAATTGCCGACCGACACCATGTGTACTGATTGATCTCACTGTCATTTTTAAACTCTCATTAGTTATCATATTATTAGTTGCGGTTGTTTTTTTATAGAATACCACCGAAACCAAAATGTGATTTGTGTATTTAGTGAACTTTGCCACATCGAAAGCGATGACGATTCTCATCAAAATTGATGAAGACAATCAAGTTCAAATACCCTGCACTTGTTGATAAAAATTCAAACGCTTATTTTAGTTCCATGAATTGTTTAGTATGAGTCGTAATTAAAAATAGACAATATACGAATGTTGACAACGATGCAGCAGACGGCTTGAATCTTGAACAACGATAATATTGCAAGCCTATGACTATGGAAATTAAACTGTTTTGAAGCAATTAAGACCTCATCAAAGATAAATAAAAATAGATGTTAGCTTTGCACTTTTATTACTTTTCCGCACACACCTAGTGTGTAAGGTAAAGTATTGGAATCGGTCGAAAAATTAACACCCATAAAAAATGTGTTTTCTGGGTGTTTTTGGGGCCAGGGAACACGAATCCAGCGTTTTTTCGATGTCCGAATGTATGTGCGTACCCTGTACCCTGTACCCTGTACCCTCCCAATGAGCCATTTTTACTAAAGCTTATGCATTCACTGTATGCATGTCGTATGTATATGATATGCATACATTTGTCCACAGCTACACACAATTTGCACCATTTATATGCATGATTATATGCATACGATATGCATAGCATTTTGATTTATACCTATTTTCTCTGATTATTTTTTTTTTGAGTTTGAACTCTTTCAAGAAAATAAATTTGTTTGCTGTACGCAAAAATTTGTTAACACGATAACTTTCAAACAAGAAAAGTAATTCAAAATCTGACTTCACAGGATGATTGGGGGTGCCGAGGAATAACAACCATTAGATTTTGAGCGACTTTGGTTGACAGGGTAAAGTGTCATGTCTGGTGTGATGCCCATGTCCATCCATGGGAAAAATTCAATTTTTCTTCCAAAAGTGATATTTAATGTATTCTTAAACACTCAAAAATGTGTATTGGGAGGTTTTTGGGTACGAGGAAACCGAATATGACGTTAGTTTTGCGATACAATCAACTTTCGAAACACTTTTCATACAAAAAATTAAAAAAATTTGGATTTTTGTATGGAAGCCATGCCTGTATGATATCGTAATGAGCTGAAACTTTGCACAGGTTATTTTTATCACACATAAATACTATTCCGAGAATTTGAAGACATTTCAACGAATATTAGGGGCACCTCCCGAACAATATTTTGGATTTTTCGCTCTGAAACGAAATTTTGTATGGGAAGTACCCTTAATATGCATTGAAATGTCTTCAAACTTTCAGAATGTTAACTTTTTGTGAAAAAAATAACCTCTGCAAATTTTCACATGATTACGATATCATAAAGGCATGGCTCCGAAACAAAAATTCCCATCTTTAGTACTTTTTGTAAGAAAATTGCTTCGAAAATTATTTTTATCTAAAACTAATGTCAGATTTAGTTTTCTTTCATGTCGTGGATCACAGTGCGGAAAAGTTCATCTTACGGATGTAAGACATTTTATTGTTGTAAGACTTTATTTATCAAATTGATATATTTCCTGTTGTCAGTTTTTTTAATCGATCAAAAGGTGGAGTGTACTCATTTCCTTATTAGTAGTTCGCCTATAACGGCGTTCTAGTTTTTTTTTAAATTCTGTGTATTGTTTTCAACAATGTCAACGAGTTGCGAGAAAGAAGAATAGTGAAAAAATAACCGTCAAGGGAGACGTGTGGCCCACATAAAATGCTAGCCATGTAGTCATCTGGCAAATTTTCAGCAATTAATGTTTTAAGAAAAAAAGAACACATAAAAAATCCGTTCTGATTTAAATTGTGAGTCCAGGCACAAAAAAAGCGAATATTTATCGCATTCGTTGAAATATTTTTGAGCGAATGACGGCCAGAGAGAACGGGAATGCACACGAATTTGCTGTTGTTTCATGCGTTGTATTGTTAAGCGTCCATTTATTGTGGTGTTGAGTATTTGCCACGGCTTTTTCAAACCAAATGCATTTAAAAAAAAAGGTCGAATTTAATTGAAAGAGCATGTGATGCCAGTGGAAATATACAAATACATAGTCAACGTTCATTTGTATCGTGCGAGAATGAAATAGATTTTGACACAGCTGGCGCCTTTGCGGCCCACGCAAAGTAAATCGCTCCGAAAACCAGTCCTGCATTCGTCTAAATGTTTGTTTGTTCGTTCAAGAGATGTTTATATGCATTGCGTGAATTGTTGTCGATTCATATGTATTCTATAATATCCGTTTATCTTGCGACGAGCACAGCCGGTGCAATTTAATCACGTCTCGCTCGCTCTTCTCTCTCTCCCTTTCTCTTTCTCAATAAGCCGATGTACATATAAGTGTGTACTAATAAATGGCACTGACATGCACATTTTTTAAAATTACACCACAGCGATTTGATTTTCATTTTCATTTAGGCACTAATGTAATATTCATTACACGCGTGTAAATGTATTATGACGGGTAACGGTACTCAAATTGCCAGCCGATTAATTTGTGATGAGAGATATATGCATTATGTATTGAGCACATCCTTTCAGTCGTTATTGATACTGTTAGCGGATCAAAGTCATAAAAGCCACATTTTACAATTGATGCAAATGAGTGTCGATGAATCGCACCTGTTTTCAAAATCGATATGGTGAAGAAAAAGCGTCGATAGACGCAATTACGGCAATGGCGACGATGTAATATTCTATCTATTTTTAAGTTGCCAATGGCAAAAATCATGAAAATTCTACTGAAGGACCCGTGTTGTGTACACAAATTTAATGGCCATTTCGTGGTTGAATACATATTGATAAATCCCGGCCACCAAGAGCAATATTAAACAAAACCGATTTGCGTCAAAATATTTATCTCACACCATTTCTGACATCGACGTCAACATTCCGGCCGATGATTCGACGGCCTTTCATTTGTAAATATATATCTATATGTATATTTTAAAATAGGTTAAACACGCAAGCCGTTTTAATCCTACACTCACATCATTCTATATAATTAGTGCGAATGGGCTGAGAACAGAATGTAATACATGAGCGTGTGCGCGGTCGACCGAACGATGTTTTCACATGACTTTGTGTTATTTGCGTTGAAGGAGCGAATGAACGCTCGACTGATCAAAACAGATGTCCACATAAATTGAACGATTTATTGAGCCGAACGAGCGCGGTTAAGCCACATCTACTAATAATAAAAACGCTAAATCAATCTCCTTGTTCGACTTTTTTTCCTCTTCATTTTTCGGATGTCGCTCACTCAAATGGATTATTGTTGTAATAAATCGGATGATGAGTGTCTGTGTGAGTCGCAGTGACAAATTCCGTTAATTTTCAAACAGATTTCAGTTAAATAGCACAATATAAATAAACTCGGAAGGATGTTCGTGTTTGAAAGCCAAGAACATTGGGTTTTTCTCTATGTGTGTGAGCGCCAAATGTCATCAAATCAAATAACATTTCATTTTCGATGTCACATGAGAGTGATGATCTTGCCTTTTGATCTTGGGCATGGATAAATGGTATACACTGAAAATTGAAACAAAGCAGATGCGATTGAGAGCATGAATCAATGCCATCATTGCAATAAGAAGGAAGTCAAGTGCCCCCCTATTACTCTCACCCATAATTCTACGAAATTGTTGCATTTGATTATGATGCCTGATGCGTTCAATTTTCAACAGTTGAAATCGTACACCCAAACCATTCGTGAAAAACCACCCATGATCACTCATTCATAACCGCTTTGCTTTGTGCGTGGTGCGGCAACGATACAGTCAACTTGAGAATCGGAAAATGCTGCTAATTTTCATAAATTTAACCATTATACTATTAAGGATACAGTCGGATGATATGATGTGAAAGAAAACATAAACGACAAAACATCCGACCGAAAAAATATTTGTGTGGAAACCGATTATGCATTTTGGGTCAAATATGGTTGCAACATTTTTCTCAACTCAATGATCTCTCACATTACATGTTTGATCTTGTTCAAAACATCGACAAACATGAGATCGAGTCTTAAATGTGAAAGAGAAATGAATTGAACGCAAAATGTGTTATGGAATGTTTATCCATACCAAAAAATATATAACGCACATGGCGTTAAAATTCAAACAGATTTTGAACGAGTGTGTTGCGCGCACAAACGTGGTAATACATGAATTCCAAGAACGGATTCCATTCATTTCCATCTGGTTTATTTTTTCCACATCATCGTTGTCGTCGTCGACTCTCTGCATTTTTGGCTGTTGGATGCCGGATTTTGGAAGTTTTCAAAAAGAAAAGTACGAACTTTCTTCACTTTTCGTATCATCAGTCATTGTCGCTTTGTCTCATGCGGTGTTCAGTTTTTAAAAAAATCCAACACAATTAATGCTGCTTCGTACGCACTCAATTTAAACACATGCATATTCAAGAAAATAAAGAAAAACTTGAAACAT